GTGTTTTTTTTTTTTTTTTTTTTTTTTTTTTTTAGAGATTTTTGCAATAGGACTTTTGAGCTTGCCAGAGATACAGAAAGCGAGAAGATACCTCTCAGGTGGGGATGGCCTCAATCCCTTCTCCTCCATTCTCCTCTCAGGATTTTGGGCATGCACACATATGCACCCAGTGTGAGTTTGGGTCTGAGATGCAAACTGCTGTTGACCATGTGGGAATCCAGTGCCTCTACCACTACACCACTGCCAGCCCTGAACTGTAGTTCTGTATAGTCTGGATATTAATCCTGTATCAGATATATGCTTGCAAGTATTTTCTCCTGTATGGGTTGCCTTTTCACTCTGTCGATTGTGTCCTTTGATGCACAGTTTTAAGCTGGATGTAGTCCCAGCTGTCTATTTTTGTTTTTGTTGCTTATGCTTTTGGTGTCCTATCCAACAAATCATTGCCCTGTCCAATTCTGTGAAGCTTTTCCTCTGTGTTTTCTTCTGGGAATTTTATAGTTAGGGGACTAATGTTTAGGTCTTTCATTCACTTGGAGTTAATTTTTCTATAAGATGTAAGGTATGGCTCCAGCTTTATTCTTTTGCCTATAGATACCAAGTTTTCTCAACATCATTGGTTCAAGAGACTGTCCTTTCATTATTAAGTAGTCTTGGTACCCTTGTTGAAGAACACATGACCATATGACTGAGGGTCTGTTTCTGTGCTTTCTATTCTATTCTGTGGATCTATGTTTGTCTTTATTACCGGCACCACAGTTTTGATTACTGTGGCTGTGTAATATGTTTCGAAATCAGGAAGTGTGTGTCCTCCAACTTCGTTCTTTTTCAAATGATATTTTTGGCTGCTTGAGGTCCTTTGAGATTCTGTATGAATTTTAGGATGAACTTTTCTATTTTACAGAAAACACCACTGGGATTTTGATAGGGATTACATTGCCTCTATAGATGGCTTTGGGTAACATGAACTTTTTAACAGCCCAGTAAATATTTTGTTGTACTTATCCCGTCAAACATTTCCAAAGCTGACCGTAAGTGAAAGGTATTTCTAGTGAACTAATTCCTTCCTTCAAACTTGTTTTTAGACTTAGACATGTCAGCACCACTTCTTTTTTTTTTTTTTTTTGGAGAGGTTTTTGCTATAGGGCACGTGCGTTCGCCAGAAAGAGAGAGACAGAGAGACAGAGAGTGAGAACCCCCCCCCCCGGGCGGGGGGGAATGGCCATGCTGCAATCCCTTCTCCTCCATTCTCCTCTTGGGATCTTGGGCATGCACACGCACCTGGTGTGAGTTGTTTGGGCCTAGGACTCGAACTGCAGTCGACTACCTGGGAGTTCAGCGACATAGCCATTACACTAACTGCTGGTCCCAGCTCCACTTCTTGACTATCATCTGGGAAGGAGAAATGCTGGTCACTGTCACCTCAGGAGCTCTTAGGTTTAGGGTACGAGACGGGAAATCTGTTTGACTTGTATATATCTATGTTTTGGTACATTTTGTTTTATTTTCTTGACTTGTGCCTTTTTCATGCAGAGATGTGATAATGGATCATCATGTTTCCACTATCAAACCTCGAAGAATCCAAAACCAAAATGTCATTCACCGCTTGGAGCGCCGGCGGATCAGTTCAGGCAAGGCAGGTACCCACTGGCACCAGGTCCGAGTATTCCACCAGAATGTCTTCCCCAACTTCACAGTCGTCAACGTTGAAAAGCCTCCCTGTTTCTTGCGTAAATTCTCACCCGACGGACGCTACTTTATCGCCTTTTCTTCGGACCAGACGTCTCTTGAAATTTATGAATACCAGGGCTGCCAAGCAGCAGAGGACCTACTGCAGGGATATGACGGGGAGATCCTGTCCAACGGCAACGACCAGCGGTCGGTCAACATCCGAGGCCGGCTCTTTGAACGCTTTTTTGTCCTGCTGCACATTACCAACGTGGCGGCCAACGGGGAGCACCTGAACCGCGAGTGCAGCCTCTTCACCGATGACTGCCGGTGTGTCATCGTGGGCTCCGCCGCCTACCTCCCAGATGAACCGCACCCTCCTTTCTATGAGGTGTATCGGAACAGTGAGTCAGTGACCCCCAACCCGCGGTCCCCGCTCGAGGACTACTCGCTCCACATCATTGACCTTCACACCGGCCGCTTATGCGATACGCGCACATTCAAGTGTGATAAAGTGGTCCTGTCACACAACCAGGGGCTGTACTTGTACAAAAACATCCTGGCCATCTTGTCAGTGCAGCAGCAGACCATCCACGTCTTCCAGGTGACGCCCGAAGGCACTTTCATCGACGTGCGGACCATCGGCCGTTTCTGCTACGAGGACGACCTGCTCACTGTGTCAGCCGTTTTCCCCGAGGTGCAGCGCGACAGTCAGACAGGCATGGCCAACCCCTTTAGAGATCCGTTCATCAACTCCCTGAAACACCGGCTGCTGGTCTATCTGTGGCGCCGGGCAGAGCAGGACGGTAGCGCTATGGCCAAGAGGCGCTTCTTCCAGTTTTTCGACCAACTGCGGCAGTTGCGCATGTGGAAGATGCAGCTTCTGGATGAAAACCATCTGTTTATCAAGTACACGAGTGAGGACGTAGTCACATTACGGGTCACAGATCCATCACAGGTATGAGGGGACTTGCCTGCTTTTTACCTCTCCAGTCTTCTGGGCAAAACAGAAAAGTTCTTCTATTTGCCTACAGTAACCCCTCATGAAATACTTATTTCATATAATCTCGGAATTTTGCTTCCCTAGGGCTCCAACTTAAAATCAGCTCCATTTTTACCTCTGGCCACATAGGTTTATCGGAACATATGGACACTTAATCTCAAACTGTTGACGTGTAGATAGTCAGTCCTGTGATTGGTATCCTAATTTTTTGCAGAGCATTTTTCTGTACCTTTGAGATGGAAGCCTGAATGCTACAAGGTCACAGTTTGGACTGCCCGTGGATAATCCCACCTTGATGTTATAAGGCTGTGCCTATTGGTTTGGTTCCTTTAGTTTTGGCAGTGACAATGAACTCAACTTACAAAAAAGAAAATCCTTTAAAAATGTTACTTCATCTTTTTTCCTGTTTTTTTTTTTTTTTTTAATGTTACCAGAGAGGGACAGTATGTGGGGAGTTGGTGAGAAAGCAAGCTGCCAGGTCTGGGACTTGAACCATGATTGGCTATGTTGGAGTCCAGTGCCCTTAACCACCATGCCACCTGCTGGCCTCATGT